AAAAGCCCCAAGAATTAAGAGAAAAGGAAGAAGAGGAGGAGGAGGAGGAAGGGGAGCAGCTCCAGGGGTTTCTGCTGAAGCCAAGCGCCGTCCCTGGGGCTGGGGAGCGAACCCAGGGCCCCTCCTTGGCCAAAGCTTGTGGGTCACAGACTCCTCTGTTGAGGTGGGGCAGGGGGCTTGGGGGGCACCCACATCGTCCCTGGTGCACCCACATCGTCCTTGGTGCACTCACATCGTCCTTGGTGCACCCACATCACCCCTGGTGCACCCACATCACCCCTGGCACCCCTGGAGCTGCTGCTGGGCCCCAGTGGGTGCTGGGGCTGGGGAAGGGGCTCCTGCCGTGCCAAACCCCCCAGCCCCTCCACCCGGGGCTCCCCCAGGACGTGGGGACAAGCAGGGACACAGAGACAGAGGAGCTCTGCTGGTCTTAAACCTCTGGACTTGAGCCCCCCACTCTGGACCCCCGCAGAAGGATGCCAGGGGACATTTCATTGGTGCCAGGGGACCATTCATTGGTGCCCTCCCTGGTGCCCGGCCCAGCACAGCCGCCAGAGCAGGAGGAGCCAGGACTGGAACCCCAGGACAGCCCCAGAGGGGTGCACGTGGTGCTCATCCCCCAATTCTGCACCTCGGGGCCCTGGGGAGGACTCGGATGGGGCCGCTGGAGCCTCCCCGTGGCGTTTCGGGTGCTTTGGGGCTTTTTAACGGGGTTTTGTGCAGGCTCTGAGGGCGTTGGGGGGTGTTGATGCCCAGGGGGGGTCTGTGGCTGTTTTGGGGGTGTCTGCACAGCCCAGCCCAGCCCCTGCAGTGCCTATGGGTGAGCCAGCCCCAGCCTGGCAGGGCCAGGGCACCCTGAGCCGAGGGAGATGCCAATAAACAGCCTGAGGACAAGCGTGTCCCCTCTCTGTCACCTTGCTCTGCCACGAAAGGCCCAGTGCCACGTGTCCGTGTGTCCTGCTGTCCCTCTGGGCCTGTGGCAGCCCTGTGGCACCAGGGAGGAGCTGGGCAAGGGGTGCCAGAGGTGCTGGGTACAGCCTAGAAGGGTGCAGGGGGCTGTGGTGGCCGTGTCCTGCATGTTCCCGTTGCAGAGGGGTCTGGAGCTGTGGGGAAATGGGGTGGTGGCACAGGAGCCCCCACAGTGATGCAGCATGCTCTGGGCACTGCCAGCAGCAGCCCTGGCACTGGGCATTGCCAGCAGCAGCCCTGGCACTGGGCACGGCTCCTGGGCTGTTCACAGCCGCCCTTCAGGCCTGGCAGGAAAATCCAGGTGATGTGTTCAGGTTTCACCAGCAGGGCTGGGGGTGGGGAGGGCTCACAAAGTGCCAGGTCCATGCCAGGGCTGCCAGGGATGCACAGTCCCTGTCACAGCACCTGGGAACCCTGGGACCCTCACCCTGGTGTGGGCAGGGGCTGCCAGGGGATGCAGTGCTGCATTGGGCACCCAGAGCTGCACTGGGGACCAAGAGCTGCAGCTCCTCCTTGCACTGGGACAGCTGGGCTGGCTGCACGGTCACCGTCTGTCCCCACACTGGCTCACGGTGTCCCCAGAGCAGCTGGCATTGCTGGGGGTGGCTGCTCTGGCCTGCT